GCTTGTCTGAAAGACAACAATCTTCGCTCTGAAACTCACCTTGCGAAAATCTATTCTGAATACTGCACTAAATCAGGGCAAGTTCCAACCAGCACTACTCCACAAGAAACTTCTTCCAGAAAGGGCAAAGAAAAAGTTGGAGAAGCTTCAACTCCATCTGAAAAGAAATCGGTTCATGTAAGCCCTAAGACATCTAGTGCGTCAAAATTTGTTGTTCCGGATTATGATGCACGATTTTTTGAGAATTTTGAGATGAAAGTTGGAATAGCATCTGGCTTGCCTGGAACAGGAGGCTTATTCAGAAGCACTGCGCATCAGATGTATTACAGGCTGTTACTTGATAGAGGAGTAATGAACAATAGAACTGTGGATTTCGAGTATTTGGAGAAGGCTGGAATTTCTGTACAGAACCTGTTTGAAAAACTAGGGGTTTATGAATTTTGCCTTCAATCTGCCAACACTTATGCTGAATTGACTGCCTACTTTTATTCGAATCTTTCAATTCTGTCACCAAACTGGTTACAGTTTACTATTGGTGACAAGAAAGTTGATTTAAAGGCGCATGAGTTGGCAAGGATAATTGGAGCCACACACTCCACTTTTACACCATTGGCAGTAAGTCTTGAAGAGGCTTCTCAGCTAGTTTCTGAAAATCCAAATTTTGCTCAAGGATCAAAAAGACATCTCTCCTATTCTGACTTATCAAGACGATCGGTGATCCTGCATAAGATCATCATCAACTGTTTAAAGCCAAAGGATGCCTCAAAAACTGACCTTTCGAAATCAGAGATCAAGCTCATTTGGGCTATCTTGACAGGTCAATCCTTCTCTCTTCCTCACCTCATAATATTCCATATGTACAGAGCATTGCAGAAAGATAAGGGTCATCTGCCATATGGAGCTTTGATCACTCGTATCTTCATGTATCTCAATTTATCTATTCCTGGTGAGTTGCGAGAAACTATGCTTCCCCTTATGTTTGTTGGAGAAAAAATGCTCTCCAAAATGAAGAAATTTGAAGATATCAGGGACATAGTAAAAAGGAAAGAGGCTCAACAGTCAGAGGCCAAATCTGTTGGCAAGAAAGTTCAGAAAGAAAAGGAGCAAAGGAAAAGAACTAGTTCAGCAAGCAAGCAAACTGATTCTCCAACCCCAATCAAAGTGTACAGAAAGAAAAGAAAAACTTTTCTGCATGATGAAAATGATGAAGCAGAAGCAGCACACTTTGAATCAGGTCACACTGCAGAACCAGAACATGTTCCTGAACCAGTTCCAAATGTTTCAGAACCAATTCATGAAGAGCATGTTATCAAGAACAATCACCTGTTCGGGGGAGATTCCACCGATCACCGGTCAGGTACAATCGATCGAAAAAGCTAATGACCAAGGTCGCATTCGAAAATCGAACATCCTTTCGATTCTGCTCGAGATAAAGGACAAGCAGGCTGCTCTAGAGCAAAATTTGCAGAACCTACAGAAAATTGTTGAGGAAAACACCAAGGCTCAACAACTTCAAGCAGCAGCAGACAAAGCGGAATTAGAAGGAGCCATTGCTATGTGCTCATCCAGCATGGATAAAGCCATAGGTCAATGCAGTTCGAAGATTGAGGAGGCTGTCTCAATATTGGAAAATTTTCAACTGATTCGTACTCCTAAAAAATAGCCTGTTTTTCAACATTTCTCTCTATTTTTTTCAATTGGTCTGTAATATTTCTCATACTTATTGTTAGACTGATTGATTACTTAATATCAATGCATTATTCTATCTATTACTATTCTTTTTGTTGATGACAAAAAGGGGGAGAAATCATATTGCAGATTTACAGGTTATTCTCAAAGGAAGAAAGACAGAGTTTGCTATTTCAATCTGTGTTTATTGAGCTTAATATGTTTAAAATAATTCAATCTGCAAAGAAAGTTTTGTCACCATCAAAAAGGGGGAGATTGTTGAGGAAAACTCCTATTAATTTTGAAGTTGACAAAACCTTCTATGTTATTGTAAATCTGATACTTATTCTGAACTATTCCAGGTCTGTATATTCTGGAAGCTCAGAAGAAAGTTATTCAGACTTTACAATCTGTCAAGTATATTTCTGAAGACCCACATAATCGCAGTTCTGAGATTCAGAAGCAGAAGTTATTCAGATGCAGATGCAGAAGTTATTCAGATGCAGATGCAGAAGAAGAAATTATTCAGACGCAGAAATTCTTCAGACGCAGACGCAGGAGTTCTTCTGATGCAGACGCAGAATATCTTCAGACGCAGAATTCAGAATGTAACACAACAGCTAGTGATCCGGCATGGATTTCACGTAAGGAATGTTCGATTGTCTCAATCAATCAAACCGATTGACAATCAAACATCATGACAAGAATGCATTACAACGGACAAAGTTCTACTTATGGAAACCAAGATTCGATTGTATGGGCGACCGGAATCGGCGGGATTCGAGAATCGTCAACCAACCAACGCTACTCAATCCTTACTATACAAATCTGTCCAAGGTAAAGATTGGAAGATGATCCTCCAAAGCGTCCAACGGCTAGTTTGGAAGCGAGAGGAGTATTTAAGGAGATCAACGAGCAGCGAGGAAGGAGTACGAAATCAAGAATCAACAAGTCCAAAGTCCGAGCTTAATCCAATCATTTTTCTCTTGTCATTCCGAGCCAAATATTAAGATCTTGAGGAACACTTTGTAAGAGTGATTGTGTGAGATAGAGAGTCCTATCATACACAAGAGTGTAAACACTCAGAAGTTGTAACTCCTCTTGATTACATAGTGAAATCCAACAGTAGGGCCAGTAAGCGTGGGAGAGTGGACGTAGGCTTGCTATAAGCCGAACCACTATAAACTTGTGTGCGATTCTCTATCCCTTATCTCTTACTTTACATTCTCGCACATCAAGAGCACGTCTATATAATCTGTCTTGAATCGAATTTTATTTCAGACTCTTCTGTGATTTATTTTGTTTCCGCATAAATTACTAAAAATTGTTTTAGATCACCTATTCACCCCCCTCTAGGTGATCCTTGCTAGCTACATCAATCGATAGGGGTGATCGATTCCCGGAACCAGGAATCGGAAAACGGAACAGAGGGGCTGGTTGCCAGTTTATGGAACCGAAAATCAACCCACCTATCAACATTGGGGTCGATTGTCGCAATCCTTTTGGAATAGTAAAAGCAATGTGTATTCACGATGATCCCTCTTTCAAGACATTCACGTATAACTATGTACTTTTCTTCATGGGAAACTTTGAATTCGATTTAACTTTTGCTACGTGAGTTACCTATTCAAAGAATTGAATTGAATTGAAGATTCGGCCTGGGGGGTCGTCGAGTTTTGTCCCCTCTTGGGCTCTCAAACGGATCTTTTGCGGTTTATCCCCCGAGAGATACCCTTTTAGAATTTAGAGTTTTTCTCATTCGAGTCTTTCGAGGAGTGAGTGAGTGGGTGGTCCAAGCTTTGGAATAAACACTACAATGTCCCCTTCCTATCCTTTTTCTATTAATTAAGAAATTTCTTCTTTTTTGCGAAATTGTAGCTTTTTTTATTAAGGGTGAATGCCGCGAAAAAACTACAAATTAATACATTTGTGATAAATTTACCCTCCGTCAGTTTCCGTTAAATTTCACCGTCAAATTACTGAGTTGAATTACATGTAGCACTTTAGGGTTTTACCATCCAATTGTCGCAGGTGCACCGATTTGTGATTTTTCGTTATATTAATATAATTTAACGGAAATTAACGAAGAAAATGTACCGGTTTAAGATTTTTAGTGATCAACAAATTAGTCTGGAGTAAATTTATCACAGGTATATCTGTTTGAGATTTTTTGTATTAAAAAAATTAATTTAAAGTAAATTTATCACGGATAGACTATGAGTTTTTTTTTTTGTAGTATTCACCCTTTTTTTGAACGAGAGGCCTAATTCCCAAAAAAACTCCAAACTTTACACTTTGTCCCAATTATATCCTGAACTTTTTTTTGTCTCAAGAAAAACCTCAAACTTTTATTTGAGTCCCAAATCTGCCCTACCGTTATAAATCCGTCCAATTAACGTCAGAAGGAAAAAAAAAAAACAGAACCAGCAGCTGCGGCGTGGCCAAGCCTTCGCCGGTGGCCGTCGCCACAGCTGCCGGGAAGGAGCAGCGGCCCTCGCCTGGGCGTTTCCGAAGGCGACCTCGGGCGAGACGCCGCGAGGCCTCAGCCGAGGCGGGCGAGGGTCGCCCTGGCCAGTTCGGAACGCCTCGCCCAGGGCGGCCGCGACCCCAGGTGAGGCCTCGCCCGGGGTCGCCCACCCGGGCGAGGCCTCGCCCGGGGTCGCCCACCCCCGGGCAAGGCCTTGCACTGGGAGCTCGGCGGCCCTCGCCTAGGCTTTCCGAAGGCGGCGACCCTTGCCGGCCCCGGCGAGTCGTCGGCGGAGAGCTGCGGCCCGATCGGGGGAGGTCGCCCTCCCCCGTGATCGGGCCGTGTGTCTTGCCTGCGACTCGCTCTGGGCCGACGAGGGTCGCCGGCCTTCGGAACGCCAGTGCGAGGGCCGCCGCTCCTTCCCGGCGGCTATGGCGGCGGCCACCGGCGAAGGCTTGGCCACGCCGCAGCTGCTCGTTCTATTTTTTTTTTTTCTGACTTTAATTGGACGGATTTATAACGGTATGGCAGATTTGGGACTCGGATAAAAGTTTGAGATTTTTCTTGAGACAAAAAAATGTTCATGATATAATTGGAACAAAGTGTAAAGTTTGTCCCAATTTTTTTGGGAATTAGCCCGAGGTGAAATAACATAGTAAACTTAAGCATCTCGGCGTCAGCAATTTGGAACATCCACATCGTTTTATTTGCAAAAAATTGAAAACGACGGACAAATCGAGGTGAATGTCGTGGCCGTCGTCGTCCGTCGTCGTCGCCACTTGGATTGTCAGCAGCAAACAGCGTGCTGCTACGCCGCCGTTTTGAAGCATGCGTGCAGCGTCACCACATTCCCTGGTCAAAACTTGGAAACTTTCTCCTCCTCCTTAAGCCCATCTGAACCAGTAGCAGCGAAGAAGACGACGACGACGACCACCACCGGCGAGGCGCAGGAAGCCAAAGATAGCCAAAGCCGACGCCTTTGAAGGCATTTCGCACTCCGACCGAACTGCAGGCAAGAACCCACGATGAGAACCTCTCTCCTCTTCTCCCTCCTCCTCCTTCTCTTCTCTCTCCTCGACTCTGCCTCGTCCCAATCCTCGGAACTCCCGACCTCGGCCCGACCCCTGTCCAGGGTCCACGCGGAGCTGACCGCCTACGGCTTCCCGGTCGGCCTCCTGCCCGCCCACGTCCGGGACTACTCCATCAACGCCACCTCCGGCGACTTCTCCGTCGGCCTCCACGGCCCGTGCCGGCTCACCCTCCCCCCCGACAACTACCTCGCCGCCTACTCCGAGAAGATCAGGGGGAGGATCGTGAGGGGCCGGATCGCCGGGCTGGAGGGGATCCGGGTCAGGGCCTTCTTCCGGTGGTGGTCCATCACCGGGATCAAGTCGAGCGGCGAGAACCTGGTCTTCGAGGTCGGCGGCGTCAGCGCCAAGTACCCTTCCAAGAATTTCGACGAGGCCCCTGCTTGCAAGGGAGGGAAGCGAGCTTCCTCTTGAGGTTAGGGTTTCCATTTTCCTGTTTTCAATCTGGCAATTTTCGTGGATTGATGATGCGCCGCTTCGTTTGCTGGTTCGATTGGGTGGGTCAGAGATTGTTTGTTCATTGCGACTTCATTGCTTCGATTGTTTTAATTGGTTGGCCACTTGAGATTAGCCATTCTGTAGTGACCCCGGTTCATTCATTAGTGATGGAGAGAAGACGGAGATACTCAAAAATGGAAATTTCTGAGCAAATTGTACTTTACCAGATGACAATAATAATGGGCTCAAATTCTTACCATCAGACTGTCAGCGACTTCTAGTGTCCGTGAAGGATTTATATGTGTTGGTAGGACGAGAAGTAAGTTTTTATCTTTTGATCTGCATAGATTTCATGTGGAAGAGCAGGTTGCTGTTTTTGAATTATCAGGGTGCGTATGCGTCCCCTGTTTTTCTCTTTTCCCGTCAAACATGATTATGGTTTTTATATATTCACATGAAAATCCATTTTAGATTGCATATCTTGGTTCACTGATGGCACATTGAGGCTGTCGAGTTTCTTTGAACAAAGTTCATGATTAATTACTGGAGAAAAACATTCGGGGGTTGTCATGCACCTTGTTGATAGCTGCACATGGTGTGCAATAGTCAATGACAACATGCTATCTAAAATAGCGATCTTTCCTGACTAATCTTGCTACCTCTGGACATGGATTCCACCGTGGTTAGGGGTGGCATGTTGGCGTTGGCTATCATGCACCATGTCAACGGGTGAGTTCATGCATGACGAGCTCTCAATATCTTCTTGGTGGTTTGTTATCGGGTGTGTTGTATTGGCCTTCATTGAGCTGACTTTGACCATTACACCTTACGGTCAAACCTGATATCCAGCCCGAAGTTTAGTTATAGCGGTGTCTTATTGCTGTTGAGGGGATTAGCCTTTATTGCATCTAGATGCTTGATACAGATGGTATGTGAATCTTTATGATTTTCATTGTCAACTTGTGGAAGTTTCTTAACTAGATTGCATTGTCAGATTTTGTAGAATATTAAGAATAACAGCTGTCTAGCCTTGTAGTATTTTTAATAAGCTTTATGGAGAATGGGACTTACATTACTTATCTTTTAAACTGACCAACCTGTATTATGAAAGTCTGGACCCACTAGTAGTATAGATATTTCCTGCGTGTTTAACGATATTTTAGGGTAGCTTTGGCCAAAAGCCGGTCATCCTGCTATGTCTTTTTCAAGTGGCCATATGTTGGTATTATCCGTTCTATTTTGCCCTGCTACATTCTCCATTTTCTTTTATTCATCTCAGACATTGTGTTAATAGATGTCATATAGTCAAATATCATTTCTGCCAAATTAATTCTAACAATAGCAACCATCAGATTTGGGATACTTACAGCTTTGACTGTGGCTGTAGACTTTGTTCTCGAGCCATTATGTGCTGAAAAAGGACATACGGGCATTATTAATGTAGGCCAGGAACATAAAATAACTCTGTCCAGGGGCAAGACTTTGTGAATGCTCGTCTTAGTAAGATCGTGGCCTTACAAAGTTTGTTAGGTGGAGGTAAATTATCTGGTAAATGGACTAACTGAATAGAGATTCTATTTTTAACTTAATTAAATCTGTTCTCTATAGAGATGAATCTCTTGCTGAAAACCTGCCGCTGAGAAAAAGCTGATGAAAGGAACTTTTTCTTCACAGCTAACATCAGCACGACATTTGGAGTGAGAACAATCTCATGGCTAGGAATGTCATATGAATTTCACATGGTCTGATGTTTGAAGCTTTTGCTAAATGCGATATGCCATAAATGGCTTGTGCGCGCGTGTTTTTTCCAAAGAATCAGCTGTTATCTGTTACAGCCTTGGCATGTCTCAAGTCTCCCTCCCTTTGTGTTTTGAGTGTGTGCGCCTCTTTACTTGTGGCCGTTAGCAATACAAAGTCTTGCTTATGATTGATTTTATTTTTCTGTAGTCCCTTATTATCGCATCCTTTCACTTCCTTCCACTTTATTTTTCAACATCAGAACATAAGTTTGCTCCATCGGTGGCTATCGTCTTAAGAAGAGATGCGTCGTTAGAAATATGTCCCTTAATGTTCTTTTACCTTATTGCTGAAAGTCCTTAATAGCATTCTGTCGACATGTCAACCTTCTGTATCTGCTTTTACTCATTAAGAAACTTCGTTCGTAATTCCCCTGGGCCTTCATTTTTCTATGGCTGAGGATTGTATAGGACGGCAATTATTCTTTTTCTCGTGTCGTGTGAGGTGCGAGCGCTGGACCGTGACCTTTCTTGCTTCTATATTTTGCAGCTGTGTGGTTCTCTAATCTCCAAGGTTCGGGTAGTATGTGTATGGACTGTCAAGAAGCCTGTAGGAGATTGAGAGAAATTGGCCAACAAGATTTGAGTAGTCGACGTATGTTTTATCAGGTTAATGTTAATGACTATTTCCTCTTATCTGGGGATGCTTGCTAATACTTTTATGATAAATTCCAGTATCATTTACTAGTTGATGCAGGTATAAGAAAAAAAAACGCTAGTATGTATGTATATTTTGGCTATGACTCGTGCTCTTGTTTGCTAGTAGAGATAATAAGATAATGACTATTCTGTAAATTCGATTGTAGAAGATTACTTTGCGTCGAAATGGCGCATGCAATATGTACTGGCCATGCACTTTGCCTCGCAAAACCCAATCATTTATATGTCTATGGCTCTTCATAACTCATTTAGCTTTATAAATGGTGGATCAAATTCTATATTGATTTGTAGTTGATCAATGCTCCCTTCTACTGATGATGTAATGTGAAATATGGGATGGAGTTACAGTTTTCTGACTTGGCTTTGATGTGTTGCGGCTTAAAAATATGCATTACAAAACATAAAACTTATAACACTTCACAGCATAGCACACCTATAGTAGTACCAAACTTGTTCTAAAATTCATATGCAAATTGCTCACATTATGTGTGATGTGCTACAACTGGAGATTCAAAATTTCAAACAGAGGCACATTGCGTATCTACTCAGTACTCTTAATTTTGTACTCTAATTTTGATTCCTTGTCCAAGGAAATTATGTCGGACACAGCTTATTGGATTGGTCTTGTATGTAATTTGGACTCTGAGATCAAAAAGAAAAAAATTCCAATGGTCGGATAATTTTTTAAAGATAGTATACGAACATGTAATGACAACTGTGACATATGAACACAATTATTCGCTGATAGGGTCTTTGAGTTTACGGACTGCCTTATATACATGTGACCATTCGAGGTATTTTTACTGTGTTATTGATTAATTATTGAGCGCTAACGTCTTCATGCCAAGAGAAATATAGATGAACTACCGGATATAATGGTGAATTACTAGTTATAAGTGCAAACAAGTTAGGACCATTACAGTAAAGTTACGATCCACAAAGTAAAATTACGTGGTGCAATCAATCTCACCACGATTTTGGGTTAATTAGAAAAAAAAATTCAAGAAATTTGTGGCTAGAAACTTCGTAGAAGCACCCACCTAGTCCATCTTATGTTTTGATTTATGGAAGACCAAAGTTACAAAACCGTTTTCATCACTTCTTTTTTGTCTGCTTTTGGCTTTTCAGGCCAGGTGGATGTTAAACAAAGAGTTTAGGAATGCTTTCGGCCTTTTCGGTCATCATCAAACTTTCAAAGTGTCTAATGGATGATTCGTGATCGTAATGTACTTTGTCTATATTTTATTAACTAACAACAACTAATCGTGATAGGTTTTAGGATGCATGGCCCTCTCGCTTTAACTTCACACACAGGATTTCGGGTGCATTTGAAAACACTTTGGGCGAAAACCTTTGGGAAAATGCAAAGAACTTTAGGTGAAAGGATTTTTCCAAAATGCAAATAGTATTTGGTAAAGTGTAATTTTAAAACAGTGTGAGAAGTAACTTCGACTCTAATGCTGTTTGGAAAAAACTACGAGTTTTGCTAGTTTTTTTTTTTATTATCTCAAACTTTTGCTGTCGGAACTCAACTGCCAACCCGTCTCACCTGAGGTCGCGCAACCTTTGGCAAGGTAGCTGGGGTCACGTGACCCCGGGCAACAGTCACCTGGGATCAGGCATCGTGCAACCCCATGCGAGGCTAGTGTTGGTCTAGCTTGCCGGCAACCAGGTCTCGTCGACGGCCCAATAGCGGCATGAACCCTTGTCGATAACGCCTCGTTAGGTGGGGACATTTTTGGAATTATGAAAAATTAGCAAGGGCAAAGTTCAAAAAAAGTGTTTGCATTCCGGAAGTGTTCAAAGCACGTCCAAACCTGTCTTGGGCTAAAGGCCGATGCCTTTGGAATTTCAATTGTATCTCTTTAGAGTTCTAAAAAAAATTTGCCAAACAATTCTTGCATTTGCTTAAGAGCCTTTAGAGCCCAAGGGTTTTGGGAAAGTGATTCCCAAACGCACTTACATACCTCTTCATTGCCTAGAGCTGATAATCATGTGGCTCTCACAAAAATTAATAATTGCAAATGCACATTAGTCGTGAACCATTGTCCATGAAAGTTCCTTGTCATGGGGAGATGGTCAGCCCTAATTTTAGGTCCACTTCTATTGCACAAATCTAATAATAGGCTCGTATGGTTGTAGCTAATGAATTTCCATAATATTCTCCGACAAGAGCGTCGCCGCTCCCATAAGTTGCAATGGGAGCAGCCATGTTCTTGTAAAATCTATATTTGATTACAAATCTATAGCTCATATTTTCGAGCTCCCGCCGAGGGTCGCCTGGCCTCGGGCGACCGTCGGCGGCGGCGGATCTGGCTCGCCGAGGGTCGCCCGCCCCCAGGCAACCTCGCCGGCCCTTCTGGTGAAGAAGATGAACAGCTTCAAACCCAAAAAAAAAAAAAAAAAGATGTGAACTGTAGCATTCGTGGAATGCTAGCATTTGGCCAATGCTAGGCTAAATGCTGAACCAAACACCTCAGCAGTTTGGGAAGGGGCTTTCGAGGCCCAAAGCCCCTTCTCAAAGTTGAACCAAACACCCGCCTTGATATCCTGGGGGCAAAAAGCCAATCTTGTGGGACTTTCCTTGTCAAATTCGACGAACTGTTGCTCTAGGGTCTAGTACCCTATCGTGATGATGAGAAATGTACGTATTGGCCAACATGGGGAAGAGCCTTGTCGTTCGAAATTGGAACATCGCGGACTGTGGTGGAATTGCCGATGTTCGCTCACAGGCATGACAAACCCCCGTACTTGATGCGCAACAAAGGTGCAGCCAGATCTTGCTCCCTCGTATCTGTTGCTGCAACTGGTCGTGTCTCGCGTCGTTTCGAATCTCACCTTTTCGTCTTTCGCGTCGCCTCGATTTGCTTCATCTCGAGGTGGATGTTTCTCACGAGGCACTCGAAAAATGTGGGGAAAGTAGCCAACTTGACCCACCACCATTCCCGCCCTTATTGATGGCCCTCTGAATCGAAGCGAAGGCATTATCGAAAAGGCGGCATGGTTTCGAGTCGAATCGCATTCGAGGTTGAGCATGTGTCGTGCGCGTCGATCATTTCCGTAAGCTGATGAGGCAATAATAACCCCACGGCTTAGAACATGATATACCATCTTTTGATAGGATCATTTACCGAATATCGTGATACAAGCAATGATCAAATTGCTAGAATGAAAAACTCTCAACCTCGATTTTGATACCAAGTTATTCTATGGTAGGAATCTAACATTACTATGTACCTTTCGATGTGTAAAAAGAGAGGCAAAGACAAGAACTTCACACTCGAGATAGGGAACATTGGCCACTATTACCACCATACTAGGGAGAGCCCAACTCTAAGCTCGTTAATGTAATTTGTTAGACCCACATTCACTCATAAATTTAAGGCATATAAGTCAACTAGGATATATTAGATACCCACCTTACGTTACACTCGTGATGTGAGACTTTTTTCGCTTAACACTCTTGTTTGGGCACCTCAACATAACTCCTCCTCACATGTGAGCCTCTCGCATTTAGGACCGATCTCTTAATCCATGTATTATCTCCTACCCGGCATTATCCCAACTCGATTTTCCACTTTGGCCTAGCCAATTTTTTATGTGTTGGCGAGGACAACATTTGCCCCTCGAATCTACCTCAATCGTCTTGACCTAGCCAAGCTCAGCGAGAAGCCGAGGACACCATCTACTACAACTATTATAGAGTCATCCAAGGTTCCTTCTTTGAGATATTTTACTAAACATTGACGCACATTGGGATTGGGCCACCAATCAACAATCAGCTTTGATTTCCTTACCAAAAAAAAAAAAAAAAAAACAATCGGCTTTGATACTAGATTGTTGAGAAAAATGCAGCTTAAGCCCGATACCTTCATTTGATGAGATCACCAAAGAAAGCCCAAGTTAAAGCCGTCAACATATCCAATTAAATCCACATTGAAAAAAAACTTAAGCAATGACATATAAGATATATTAATTACTTCATTTTACTTCACATCCTCACATCCTTGATACTTGACTTCTTTCATTCGATACCCTCCTAGGCGCACCTCAAATTTTTTGTCTAATTATTGAGCAACATGAATGAACCAAAGTTTCAAATAAAAGCCATCTTCAATCTCTCTTCCTCTCACTCGTGATGTTGTCTTTAATTGCTGTAGAAGGCCTCCCTTCTATCTTACTAGAAAGCAGGTAGATGGAAAACACTTAGAAGAAGCACGTGAGTAATGGCCAAATTTTTAAAATCTAAATTATTTTTTTTTGTTTTCTGTTTACGATCATATATGATACATAATCTTTTTAATTAGGGATGAACACGGTACGGATGATTTTCCCCATGAGAAACAGGTGGTGGAGATCTTGACAGCGTAGGGATAGGAATTTGGGCGGGTTGAGATCTGTAATAAGTCCACCCCATCCCGTTTATATATGAATATAAATTTATTATATTTAGTTAAATGATATGTATGGTAATTACAAATAGTGTATTACATAAAGATTATCAATAGAATCATGAAATTAAAATTATCCATTCTAAATTATGATCACAAATATTCATAATTGTACTTAATTATAATACATGAATAAACTAATTCATATTTTAGAATAAAATAAACTACCCGAGGGCTATGATATAACTCTCTTATTAGTTTATTGATATCTATATTACTATAAAATAAAGAAAAACTCTACCTTTACGAAGAAAGGTCACTGCCTGTTGGGGAAATGCAAGTCTTCAAAGGACTTTTGGCCTCCAAAGTCCCTCGGCGAAATGCAAGTCTTCCCAAGGGGCTTTCAAGTGAAAGCCAGCATTGGGAAGGCTGAAACCTATTTTTTGTTCAAAAAATATCCTCAGTAATTCTTCAATTTTTCAGTTTTGCCCATTGTCGTTAGCGTTCATCTTCTTTACGCAAGGGCGCCCGGCTAGAGTCAACAAGGCCAGATTGGGACGGCGAAGGGCCAATGAGGTCGCACGACCCTGGTGACGACCCCCTAAGGTCGCACGACCCCAGGCAGCCCGCGACCTCAGGCCTCGTCATTTGGGGTCGCGTGACCCTCACCGGGGGATGGTCGCTGGCGCCAAATCTGGCTCATTGGCGGCCATAGCCCTTTGCCGGCTCCAGGGAAGGGTTTGG